CGCGAGCAGGCCAAGGCGTTCTACGTCGTCGGCGCGGCCCTGGGGCGGGCCTTTATGGACGAGCAGGTCCTGCCGCTTAGTTTGTCCCCCGCGCTCTCCATCTTCACCCGCCGCGGGCTCTTGCCCTTTTGCCTGACCTTTCCATCGGGCTTCACACTGGACCCGAGCTCGGAGACCCCGCTCGACCTGCTGGAGCTCTCGCCGGGGATGGCGGGGTGGGTGGACCCGACGGTCGCGCGGACCTTGACGATGCTAGACGGGATGGACGCCGCGACGCTGGACGAGCTTGAGATCTCTTTCACCCTCCCCGGTGATGACACCTTTGAGCTTATCCCCGGCGGCGCCCAGACGCGCCTAACACGACGAAATTTAGGCCGTTATCAGCGCCGTGTAGGGGCCGCGATTCTCTACGAGTCCGCCCAGCTCCCCCTGCGGCTGCTCACGATGGGCTTCGCCGACGTCGTTCCGCCAGGGGCTTTTTGTATGTTGGAGGAGGAAGAGCTGATGGGGGTGCTGTGCGGGGCCGCCCGGCGGCCAGGCGGGGCGCTCTGGACGGAGGAGGAGATCCGCGCCGTCCTCATCGGGGATCACGGCTACCGCAGCGCCTCCCCGCAGCTCAGCATGCTCGCACACATCCTTGGCGCCCGCTTCTCTCACGCCCAGCAGCGCGCTTTTCTGCAGTTCTGCACAGGATGCCCCGCCCTCCCGCTCGGCGGGGTGGCCGCGCTCGGAGCGATTACCGTTGTCCGGGGCTCCGCTGCAGGACCGCCGGGACTCCCGCCTCTTTTCAATCCTAGCCCCAAAACGTTTCCCGCTGATTTTCCGCGTGAAGCCTCGGGGGAAAGTCAGGCCGCAGCCTTTTTTTCCTCCACGGAGGACACGACTAGCGCAGACGAGATAGAGTGGCCGCTGCCATCCGTCAACACTTGCTTTCGTTACCTCAAACTCCCTCCTTACCCAACCGAGGAGCTCATGATGAAGAAACTTCTCCTTAGTATCTCATACAGCGGCGATACCTTCGAGCTTTCTTAAAACGGATGCGGGTCGTCAATTCTGGCGCTTCTTCCCCCCTCCTCCATCTACCTTCTCAGTGCTCAATGTTTTTAGAATTATTCAAAAGAAATAGTTTCTAGGCTGGCTGTGTATCCCCTCGCCTTTTCATTCTAACTTTGTTGTTTTCAAACGACGACACAGTGAGATTTTATTGTGATACCGCTTGTTGGCTTGATTAATATTACAAATGATTCAAAGGACTCTTAACATATATATAGATGTTATTTTTTGCGTATATGGATGTGAAAAGGGGGGAGGTTCCTTTTACTATGAATTAATTTCCGTATGTTGATGTGAAAATTTTTTCTCTTTGGTGTGATACACGGAATATGCTATACATTCCCTGAAGGGTAATCCCACTTTTTACCCATAGGTATCCTAAAAACGTGTGTATAAACTACATAGTAATACAACATTATAGCACATAAAAGAATGCTGGAAAAGGAAGAAAGATTAGCCTACAGACATTACAGATGGGAATTCGACTTATAATCTTCCTATTTATTGTATTCTTGCTTCCATATCCCGCAGTTTAATCCATAAAAAAAAAGTACTTACTGGTGCTTGGTCTTTTCTTCCTTCCTCAATTGTGTCACTACACTTTAATACTACCATAAATTTGTTGATTACATGGAAGAAAGATTGTTGTATAAATAATAGATTTCATTTCGTTTACACTGGATGCTGCCCTTTTCAGGGCCAAATGCACCTTTCAGATATATATAATAGATTTCCAAACAAATCATTGGATTATCATTTATGCTTTTGATTATTATTACTACTACTATATTATAGTTTGTATGATTTATTCAATTATATTTAATCGTATAAAAAAACAGTTATTTCTAAAGTATCTATGTATTTTGCTTGTGTGAATCATGAACCTGAAGGATCAAGGTTAACAAAGTGAATCAAACGGACCCATACAAAGGTGGGTTAAAGCCTCTGAAAGAGCTCTATTCACTGCTTGATTCATGAACAAAGGCTTGTTGAGGTGATGATATTCATTAATTTATTTTCTTCGTTGGAGTCCGCATTAACACAAAACAATACCTGTATTTTCCCATCTTTTTTTTAAATATATTTTTCAGGGTTTTATTCTTTTGAATAGTTTGCGTAGCGTTGTAGCCTATAGGATTTTGGCTTGACAACAAACGCTTTCTATAAAAAGATATACACAAATAAAAATAGCACCCCCCACTCTCTAGATCTAGAACCATTATGAACATCGATGCGAATGACTTTTTGCCGCAGTTGACTTGTAATAAAAATTACATCAAGAAAAAAAAGTATCTAAAGCGGAAGCGTAAAGCCGAGTTAGAAAGAGAACAAAAAATCAACAAATTATCTTCTGGGGAAAGGAAAAAAAAAAAGGCCCGTAAAGATTCACCTGATATAAATAAAAAAAAGGTCAAGGTACGAAAGCCGAAAACTGTGGTATCTGGTGTGAAAACAGGTAAAGAAACGTTGCTCAAGAAAAAAGCCAAGGCGCTCGTTCAGGAAACTAAAGCAAAGAAAAAGCTGAAAAAGGTTTCCTCCATTAAGGCAAAATCTGTTAAGTCCGCATCTGAGAAGCCTTCTTCGAAAAAACTTAATACAAAACAAACGGGGGCTCGCAAAGCCAATGATACACCTCGGGATCCTAAAACCAGAGCCTCTCACACCACTCCTTCTTCTATTCGGAGGAAAAAGGCGAAGCCCCTTTCTCTTTCGCCTGACGTGCAAACTTTAAACAGTTCACTAACCATTGATGAACTTGATCACGTGTTGATTGAGCAGACGATACGTGGACAGGATTACGCCATCGGCGAAGAACCCTTCGCGCAGGCGCGGAATTTCGTTCGCGAGGACCCCACGCTTTACCCCCCGGAGATCGCATTCTGTGAGGACCTCGCAGAGGAAAAAGAAGGGGAGGATCTCACCGAAGATGCCCTTTTAGATAACGCGCATCGCTATTTTAAAGAGCTAAATGCGAAGGAACAGCAAATTAACCAATCGGCTGCGGCTTATTTGAAGAAAATGCGCGCAATTAATCACCGTGGAGGGGATAAAGATGGGTTTCGGTATGTTCTCCCGAGCAGTGTAAAGCAAGTAGCGCGCCAGATGATGTTGGCGAGCAGCGCGGCGGCCACCAATGAGAATAAAAAAGTTTCGTCTTTAGCGATGGTGGATACGACGCCGTTGGATTCTACTTTTAATGGAGATGGGGAGCGTTTAACGGAAAAGAAACCGGTGCGTTCTCGCCGCCGTCGTCCAAGTACGTTTTCTGATTTTTATAAATTTCAAGTCAGTAAACGATGGACTCAGAACGCCGAGAGCTTTTTAAATCGCGGCCGAGTAAACAAAACACTCTTCGAAGCAAAGAAGCACCAGCGGAATATTTGGAAGCTCTAAATCGGTTGTGGGTTTTCATTAAAGATAGTGCTTTCGCTTTTCTCTTGCTTTTTTTTTTGTTAATTTGCTCATCTCTGTGTACACACATAATCGATGGAAGCTGCTCGCGTAATCTAAACGTCTAAACACGGATTTAAAAAAGTTTTTTTTTTGAATCCCTAAGCTACCTATTAAGAAGCTCGGAAGCTTCACCCTTTAATTCTATACTTTGTCCTATTCCTTTGCTTTTTTTTCTTACCAGCCAATACCGGTGACGTTTCTTATGTTACCATCACTCTTTGGATGAGTGTGTCTATTCCTCCTTCTTCTTTGGTGTTCTCTCTTTCTGTTTCTTGGGGATGGATATTTTTCAGGGTAGGAGCATCACCCCTGAATATCGGTATACCGACCTATAGTTGTAGTTTGATCATTCATACTCATGGTGAAGAAGAAGTCTAAAGATCTCTGGAAGGCGGAAGGCCCGGCCCCCTCCCGGGCAGCCGTAAAAGACGCCCCGCGGCGGCCCAAACGAATGGCCCCCCACCGGCCCAACTGCCGCTCCGCCGTGGCCGTCCCCCTCCCTGGCCAGAGCTACAATCCCACCGACAGCGACCACCAGGCCGCCCTCGCCAAGGCGGTGCGCAAACTCCAAAAAAAGAAGTCCGAGGACGCGAAATTCGTCCAGACGATGACAATGGGGCGGAATCTGAAGATTCGCGGGAACTTCTCCGCCGATAAGACGTGGGAGGAGGAGGTCGTGGAGACCCCGGCGCCCCTGTCCCGCACCCCGAAGACGCGAGAGGTCCTTCAAAAAGAGGCCACGCAGAAGAAAAAGAAGGAAAAACGAAAGAAAAAGCTCGGAAAGAAAGGATCAGCACGGGAGGCACGGTCCGCCATGCGGCATCGCCGGCATCCAAACCGCGAGGTCGTCGAGCGCGAGGCGGCGGGGCTCGATGCACTCCTTAAAAAACATTCGATACGTCAGGAAAAACTCGCCTCCGCGAGCGCCAAGAGACGTGAAATTAAAAAGGAAAACCTGCAAATTAAGCACTTCGGACGTCATTATCATACACCGTTGGTGGTGGATGTCTTGCCGAGTGAGAATCTCGTCGGATCGCTTCGACATATGAGCGGAGGAATAGTGCATCCGGTGCTGGAGCGAATGAAATCCCTGGAGGAGCGCAATTTAATTCCCGCTCGGATGCGGCATAGCTATAACAAACGAACCATCCTCAAACCTAAGGGGGAGCTACGTCTCAAAAAAGAAACCTTTGGGGTCCTTCCCGAAACATCTTTTTAGCTTTCCAATACAAAACTATTGTATGAGGAAGTGAAAAGGGGGGGAGGGGGAGGGGGAGGGAGAATACCATTTCAAAATGACGTCATGAGGAAAAACGCGCTGTTTTGGATTCATCGGTATTTTTCATCTGCGTCTTTTCATTGTTCTTGCTACGCTGCTTGTTGAGTGGTTTCTCAAGACAATTTGTGGAAATTTATCTATCTGCTCGTTAAAGAATAAAGAAGACAATTAAATAAAGTATAATGTTGCGTGTTATTGAGTTGATGGTGATTGTCAGCATTTATTTTATTATTCATTAATCAAATAAATTAATTGCGGATTTAGCTGTGGTGCTTCGCTAATACCATTTCCAAGTATCAATTTATCACTCCAGAAAGGTTCTTTTGAAGTTCAGATCCTTTTTATACCTTTTTAAACTTTCAAAAGGAAAAATAGCTCTCATACTCACGCTCATTTTTGTTGTATAGAATAGCATCTAACCAGTGGACTTATCCATTTTGACTTTTCTTTTCCACTAAGCACGTTTAATTCATGAGCATTTTCTTCAAGCTTCTACTAGGTCAGGATGTGGTTCACCCGCTCATTGCACCCACCAATGCCGATTTGGACAGTCTAAAAGAGGAAGGAAACGATTCAACTTTTAAATATATTGGTTTGAATAGTCCTGAAGCAGCCTCTTCAGGTCAAATGAAAAAACATCCTAAAGAGTCTCACAACAACGTCGGATCTGATTTATTGGAGAGTCAGCGAAATTCGTCTTCAAAATTACCAGCAGCGGCAGCACCCTCTTCATCTAAGTATCCAATCTGGCAATCTGTAAAAGCGCTCAATAAATTGGCCATCGAACACAACGAGGAAAAGGACACTGAAAATGACAGGCCCTCCATTCAGACGCTAATCTTGCGGATTAAAACCTGTACGGTCGTGCAAGATCTTCGCGATGCATTAAGCACACTTACCGAGTGTGCGGAGCTCCCCTATGTGATGGATGCGGATGAAATGACGCTATTTATGAATCTTATATCTACCCATAGAAATGACATCGAAGTCATGGAAGCGGTTTTGCACGTTTTGCTTAATCTTATGGATGCCTCAATCTATCCGGATACGATGGAAAAGGATCCTAATCGCGGCGGGACTTTACTCGCGTCCAAAACCCCCCGACAGGCGGTATCTGCAAGTGAAAAGCAGGCGATTCGCGATCGCTTTGGTCGAGCAATGTTTCAAGGGATGCCACTTTTTCTAGGTTTGTTAAAGGAGGATGAAAACTCGTTAACCTTCTCCGTCACCTCGCGGATTTCGACTTTTTGCATTCGTCTGCGTGTGGTGCAGATCTTCCGCTACCTGCAGGATGTTGATCTTGCGCAATTACAGCGGCTATTTCTCGATTCCCACGAAATCGGCCTCGTGCTCGATTTGCTCAAGGATCAGCGAAAGGGTGGGGCCCTACGCAATGAGGTGCTGGAATTACTTTCCGCGCTGACCGCGACCGATGAGGATTTGCAGACGATCGTGGGCTTCAACAGCGGCTTTGATTCCATTTTTCGCGTGATTGAGGCGGAGGGCGGGGTTGACGGCGGCGCGATTGTTCCGGCATGCCTTACCGTAATCCACAATATGCTGCGCGGGAATCGGCAAACGCAAAAGCTGTTTAGAGAAATGCAGTGCGCAAAGCATTTGTGTGGGCTATTTAGTATGTTTGTCGAAAAATGCACCGTAGGAATAGACAGGGTGAACTCGCCCGCTGCTACCAATATTCTCCCAAAAGGCGGTAAAGTCGAGCCCACTACATCAGTGGGGGACTCTTTATCGACCACGCAATCCACCATTCTTAGGATGTCGGTATTTATTTTATCATGCATTTTGAAAGAAACAGATGCTAATGAAGAGCTACAAATTACGCGAGAAAACTTGCAGAAATGTGATGTACTCAGACCCTTGGTCAGCTTGGCTCTGTGCGGATGTTTAATGGATGAGGGTGTTCGTATCGAGTCCTTACGCGCACTGGCGATCTTTCTGAAAGATTTTCCTCCTGCTATAAACGATTTTATCGACTTGGCAAATATCATCACCTTAGTTCGCGCGCAATTTCCTTCCAAAAGGGTTTCCTGGTCCCCTTTTCGCGCCGTGTTGGATTATTTATTTACCAGCAATGACGCAACTTTATTAGGGGCGTGCGTGCAGGTTATCCAGGCACTTTACAGCGTCCCGAGTTGCCAAGAAAAGGTTGCGCTCGCCCTATTGGATAATTTCTCGCCTTCCGTAAAGGTTAGTAATTTTAAGGTAGAGGGTCATTATGAATTAAAGTCCTGCGGGCAGGCGTTTGCGTGTGCGTTATTAGGGCCCACCTTCCATACGGCAGGTAAATATTACGCTGGGCTGCTCCTAGCGCAGGCGCTTTCCTTTCCAAATGTTGCGAATCGTCTGCAGGACCTGCCGTGGAGTCCGGAATTACCAGGTGTGGGTGGGAATCCATCATTATCTTCTTCAATATTATCTTTGCCGAATAATCCTAGAGTTCCGCTTTCAAAATTTATGCCTGATACGTTTTTTAATGCCTTTATTTCATATTTTTTGTTTTGTGTTCAGGGGGGGCATCTTAGCGAGCAGATGGATACAGCCGCGCTCGGGGCCTACACACGGGCTGTGCTTGTATGGATTCGCCATTTGAAAAGCCTAGACAGTCTACGTTATTTCCTGAGCGATCCGCAGTGGTACACGGCACTTTTGCAACAAGCCGATAGCGAGAAAGGGCAAGTCAACATTCGCTTCTGGTGCGCGGTCATCGCGGCGGAGATCTGCGGGTTGGCCTCTCGCGCGGACGGCTTGCCGTCGGCCCAGTCCAACCTCGCCTTGGACCCGCCGCGTTTGCTCCAGCTCTTTAACGGAAAGCTCGGCGGCGGGGTCTTCCTCGAGAATCTCCTCTTCGACGTGCAGGCGAGCACCGTGCAGTGGTCGAACCCGGCCGCGAGCGCGTGGGGGGCGCCCGTCCCTGTCCTCTACGACGTCGCCTTCGTGGAATCCTTACAGCGGATTGTGGAGCGCTTTCGGGGGCTCCCCCCTAACCCATCCCGGCAGCTCTCCACCTCCGTCTCCTTGAGGGAAACCTCGCGGACCCTCCTCCCCTCCCCCCCCCTCCCTCGCAGCCCGTGCACCCCCACGGCGGCCCTTTCCGCTTTCCCTCCCGGCCTCGCCAGCGACGCCGTTGGCCCCGGGCCCGGGGGGCCGCT